TATGACATTATTTACACAACTATCAATACTTTGTTGACCAATTACCAAGCAATGCTTTATTTTGTTCAGTCTTTAGCAACTAGAGAAAAAACACTTAAGCAAAACAGGGTCAGGTCAAAGTGTCTGAATAATTTTTGGTCCCAAATTTTTATCAATTTTACTAGTAGTCCACTGTATGAAGAATTTTGGGGTATAATATGTTACAGTTTACTTTATTTTGCTATCCTCCCTTACATAAATCAACTACAGTGTCCTGCATCCACTAGTAAAAATATAAAAAATGATATCTGCTGTCTGAATAATGTTTTGTTTGACTGTATCTACCTCTCACTTGACTGAAGTATGCTGTTCAGAAATATGACATTTCCAATTTGTTGCCATTTAACACTCATTACCACAATACACACATGCCTGACTGACTTCTTTGGAACATACAAGATGATATTTGAATAAATGCCTCATATGTGTTTTGTTCATACAGTGAAAGTCGATGGCAGGGGCTTAGCCTAGAGACATACATGTGTGCGTCAGAATACACAGGATACACTTATTGAATGCATGTATGTGTGTATATATATATATATTTCTATGTGTTTAAAAGTTACACTGACTAAGTGTTTTTTTAAGCCAAGTATAGGGCTAATTAAACATGCAGGGTTCTATATGCTTATTTTCTTAATTTTTCTATTTCTAGAACTTGTACATGCATTTACACTGCACTTACAAATTGCACAAATAATGTTATGAGATTAATGTTTTAAATGTAAAAACTGGAATATAGAATGATAGAAAAAAACAGAATGATACTTTTAAATATGAAACTAAAATTACCAGTAGGTGGCGGCAAGCCACTGACTTCATAAACGAGTCGCTGATTCATTTATTCAATAGATTCTTTCAAAACGACTGATTCACTGAGGAACGAAGAAAGAAACTTTTTATGAATGGATCAGTGAATCATCAAAACAAATTAATTCAGTAAGGAAACACCTGTGTGTTGCTGCAGAGATGCACAACATGGCTTAGTTTGGAGCACTTTTTGTTAGCGAAACAGAGCAAAAAAGACAATGTTATCTCTACAATTTAAATCACGTCATACTTATTTCTTGTTCATTGAATTTTGCCCTGACACGAAGACAATCTGCCACAGACCATGCTAATCAAACCGCTCATATTCTCGCTCTAAATGCGTGTGTGTGTCATGCAAGTCTGCATAATTCTGATTAAATATTTGTATTTGATTCTTCACAGTGACAGTGCTCAGTAACAAATAACCTAGTTTGACAAATAGCAAATTGGGTGGATACAGTGATACCTGAAGCAGCTGCTGTAACTTTCTATCTATCTGTTTGCGTCTCTGAACTCACCTGGTCCAGTGAGGAAGTCTCTGAGGGACACAGACAGCAGTGGGGGGGGGATACCTGTCCGGCTGTCGGCCTCTCCTGCGACCGTCTGCAGCCAAAACACACTGTAGTCTAGCGCCTCCGGGAGAGACTTCCCTGCGTCTGCCAGAGAGACGGACACACGGAGGTTGTGGATGAGTTATATCTGTGCAGGGCTGGACTATAAGGAGTGCCTGATCGTCCGGGGCCAACGTGAAAGACACTGGGGACATTATTCGTCTTTCCTCTGAAAGATGCGCTGCTTTGTTTACAGCGGTAACCAAGGAATGCTGTATTATTGCTGTTCCATAAGCGCCACCTGCTGGCAGACAGTGAATCTGCGTCTCATTCAGCCCGTCTGTATTTCCTAAAGCATTATTTCATTTGTATCATATGTGCTATTGCATGTAATTTGTTAGGATAGGACAATATTTGACTGAGATACAACTATTTGAAAATCTGGAATCTGAGGGTGCAAAAAAATCTAAATATTGAGAAAATCACCTTTAAAGTTGTCCAAATGAAGTTCTTAGCAATGCATATTACTAATCAAAAATTAAGTTTTGATATATTTACGGTAGGAAATTTACTAAATATCTTCATGAAACATGATTTTTACCTAAAGAGTTAGTTCACCCAGAAATGAAAATTAGCCTGTGTTTTACTCACCCTCGAGGCATCCTAGGTGTATATGACTTTCTCCTTTCAGACGAATCCAATCGGAGTTATATTAAAAATTGTCCTGGCTCTTCTAAGCTCTATCATTGCATTAGGCGGGTGTTTCTGTTTAACAGTCCAAATGACGTTAAATAAAGTGCGTGTATCCGTAATAAAACGTGCCTCACACGGCTCCGGGGCGTGAATAAAGGCCTCCTGTAGCGAATCCATGCGTTTTTGTAAGAAAAAGATCCATATTTCAAACACTTTTCTCTCACTTCATCTAACTGTGGTATGCAGAAGCGTTCCGGCGGATGACGTAGGTGTTGCGTGATTAGCAACGAACGCGGAGAGAGAACAAAACAAAACGCCGGTCACAAATTAGAAGTACAAACCGAGGATTTGTACAAAAAAACGTCGGAGGATTTCGATATAAGCCAAGAGGAGACTGGTTTTCCTTTGTTTACAGGAGCAAAGGAAGCAAAGTTTCCTTACTTTAGCAAACTCGCGAGACTAGCATATCTCAGAGGCGCGCGTGACGCATACGTCCTGTGTCATCCGCCGGAACACTTCCGCGTAAGTGAGAGAAAAGTGTTTATTACGTTTGAAATATAGATATTTTTCTTACAAAAATGCATCGATTCGCTACAGGAGGCCTTTATTCACCCCCCGGAGCCGTGTGAGGCACTTTTTATTACGGATGGATGCGCTTTATTAGACTTCTTTTGGACTATTGAAAAATAACAGCCATTCACTGCCATTATAAAGCTTGTAAGAGCCAGGACGTTTTTAAATATAACTCTGATTGAATTTGTCTAAAAGAAGAAAGTCATATACACCTAGGATGGCTTGAGGGTGAGTAAATCATGGGGTGAACTATCCCTTTAATAAGCTCAAAATATCTGAGGAACTGCAGTGGGCAGGGCTAAAGAGGCAGGCTTCACTGGATGGTATGGCATGTAAATGAGACGTGGCATCACTCACACACACACACACACACACACACACACACATGCTGCATGGCTGATGGAAGGTCAGATCCAGTTCAGAAGCTGTACTCATGAGAAACCTCATGAGCTCAGAGCTCAGCGCCTGAGAATGTTCTCCTCAAATCTCAGACTCCCTTTGAAGAAAGCAAAAGCACTTAAAACGAGCGCCATAAAGCGCAGCGGCCTCATGTTGCCTCCTGTGAAGTCGCATTCGCTCAGAGACATGACGGCCGCCTGTGCATCAAAGCCCCGAGACCCCAAACTCATGACGACTGTTCTGCAGCTCAACCACAACAAAGACAGGGTGGGGGTCGTGACTCGATGCAGTGACGTTACAGAGGGACACGTCTCAGCGGGTTAATTCTCCTGCGTAACACACACAGCAGGAGCGAGCGGACACTGGAGACCCTTTACAAATGTGGGAGAGAAAGAAGAAAAATGCTTTCTGCATTGTAGAGCAATGCCTAAAACATTTATACAGTTATACAGTGCAGATAGTGCGTCTGACTTCACTGTAGGGAAAAGAGCAGCATGGTCATTCTGCTGAACATCTGCTTTTGTGTTCCACAAGGAGAGTCAATGATTTATTCACTCCTTTAAGAGGATGAAAACAGAACAGACTTCATTTTATCAGGAAACCTGGACCATGAGGCCATGATCACCATCACTGGTGCAGGAAAAAACCCTACGGTCGGTTCCAGCGATGTGACTTCAGAGCGCAGCTAAACTTCAAACATGAGGTCACGATGAGGCTCTTTAACCCCAGCGACGCCAATGAGAAACAGCGACGCGAGGAGCCCGGGGTGAGCGAGAGGTGAAGGTGGCTCTCTGAGACTCTGTGGGGTGATGAGGAAACCGCAGGCAGACGCTGGAGTTATTCACCGACCGCTGAAGCATACAGCCGCTGGCAGACACCATGTTTACAGCGAGACCGACCGGACGCACGGACCAAACCATCTCATTTCATCTCCATCAGAGCTGCGGCTCGCCCGAAATATGACTTCAGCGAAAACACCAGACAGAACAAAACACTGCGTTACCATAGAAACACATTCCCATCAGCAACAGCAAACTAAAATAAATTTTCATGACTCCAAAACATTAAACAATTTAAAATGATGGCAGTTAGGATGAAGCTTGGCAGCCCTAAAACATGAAAACAAAACCCAAATAAACTAAAACTAGAAAACATTGAAACAAACTACAACTAAACTAAAACTTTGATAGAGTGAATGCTAACGAAAACTAAACAAACTTGAAAAGAAAAAAGAATGAACGTTACATGCACATTTATGCATTTGGCAGCTGGTTTTTTCCTAAGGTGCAGATTCACCAGTAAAGTGTTCTCTGGGAATAGATCCCATGATGCTGCCTTTGCTTGTGTCATGCTCATGCTATTTAAGCTACAGAAATGTTAAAGGGGTCATGACACGGATTTTTTTATTTTAATATGTTCTTTGAGGTTTACTTATAATGTTAATAAAGTTTTTTGCACACAAAAAAAAAATAAAACAAATTAAAATGTGGAAAAATTATTATTTTCTACCCTCATTCTGACCCTCTCTCTGAAACGATGTTTTAAGGGGCGTGTCCTTTAAGGCTCGTCAGTAATCAGCCGCTGTTGTGATTGGCTAACGTCACTGCATAGGAAACAGTATCAACGCCCCTCGCTATTGCATGAGTGTTTTGACAACATGATCAAAATAAAGCGGTTATTTCCAGACGAAGCATTATGAAATCATTTACTTATGGTTTGTGATGCAGATCTAGTTCCGCTTCATCTTTCAACAAATGATTCTTTGTGACTCTCCATGACACTGTGCCTCGATTACAAAACAAAATCCTCCGACACGATCCGAGATGCTGTTAAAATAAACTATCCACTTGTTCCTTACGCTGGGATCCTTCTGATATCTGTACAAAGACGTGAACGAGCTGTTTAAGGATATTCATATCTGTAACTGTATCCAGAGTAGACGAGATAGCGCAGTGATTGTGATTTCTATTAGCTTTTGACGCGACGCAACACTCGCATTCTGCGTGATCAAGTGTTAGCCGTTAGCGAGTGAGCGCCAGTGGGCGGGGCCTATGCTGAGAAGAAGACTATTGGTCAATATCTTGCTCTGGGGGCGTGTTTATGCAAACGACTGCCTAGCTGATGCCACCTTGTCCCTCGGATCCAAAACAAGCCGTTTTCTGAGGGATATTACATAAACGCTTTTTTATTGATGATGAGGACATTTTAAGTTCTAAAACCTCGGATCCAAAACATGCCGTTTTTTGAGGGATATTACATAAACGCTTTTTTATTGATGATGAGGACATTTTAAGTTCTAAAACTTGCATGATGTATTAAGCATACCAAGACCTCTTCTGTGTCAAAAGATCAAAGGAAATTTGGTTTCTCATGTCATCACCCCTTTCAGAAAATTAAATAAAATATTAACAATATAGTAAAACGTATTTTTTTTTTTTTCAAAATTCATAATTATGCATGCTACATGGGCCAGAAAGTACAGTACTCTTATTGGTAGCTGAAAGCATCTTCAAACTAGCCAAATACTAAATAAACAAGAAAGGAAGCAGAGAAGGTTCCTGATCACACAACTAGAGTCCACGGCTCTGAATCAGACTCGCCCCTCACCTGTTATTTTAAACGTGTGATCTTGCTTATACAGGTGGAAGACATGCTTTCTCTCCTCAGCCCAGCCTAACCAAACAGCGCTCGGGCCGGGTTCGAGTTAACACGGGTTACCCTCCTGTAACCGTGACCCGGTTTGCCCTCGGGCTCCTGAGCTGAAACCAGAGCCGCGGGTCAGACGTGTTCAGACGCTCGGCCTCACCGCACGGATTTGTTTCTCTTGAATGTAATTCTGCGCCTGATGATTTTATCTGGGGTTTCACGCCAATTCTGACAAAGCGTTATGAGCGAAGGCCTCAGCTGCTACTGATCTCAAATAGATCAGGTTTCGGAGGTGAATTGGGGAATGTGCCACGCTGGTCTCGGGCACAGCGCTGAACTCAGAGAGCTGAACTGTTTTGACTGGCTGTCAATTATCAGTTGATTCTGGTACGAGAGGTCAGCGAGCACCAAGAGAAAAAAGAACGATTCCGTTTCATAACAGCCTGGAAGAGGCTAAAAACACCAACCCTGAGAGCGAACAAATATTTGAGATTAGCCGCAGCGACATCCTAGTTAGCAGATGTTTAGCAGCCAAACGCAGGCGTTATTTGTGTTCGGGACCGCGAGCGGGAGAAAGAAAACACGCGTGACCTTCCCGGCGTGTGTGTAAGCGTGAGGTGTCATACAACCAGCTCACAGGTCAGAGACGCAGAACATCGTATTACAGAAAGTTTCTTATCTTAGGTCTTAAGATATGAAACGTTTAATTAGGATTTTTCGCAAATTCGTATTACAGAAGCCAATCTTAACTTGATTTGGGATTCTTAGGGTTAAAGAGTCTTTCTACCATTAAACATTCTTCATTTTCAATTATTAATAAATGTAATGCCATTGTTGGACAGCGCAATTGTAAGCGTTTTTTTCCCCGTTAGCTTTCAAATAATTCTGAAGTTAGGACAGCTTTTAGGATTTTTTGTCAAGTTAGGAGTTTCCTGTAATACCCCTGTAGTTAAGATAGGATAACACACTTAGGAAATGCTGTTCTGTAATAGCTTTTGTACTAAACGTGGTCCTAACTGAAATGACCAAACAGATAAGATTTTAAAGTTAGGATGTTTCTGTAACACGCCCCCTGAACCGCAGAGAAACGATCTGAGCTCCAGCGCACGGCAGCATCAGTGACCTGCGAGAGAACCAGCGGCGTCCCTGAGCAATCTCTGCGCTTCAGTAATCAAAACAACTCACGGCCAGACATTCTCCTTCCAAACACACCATCACATCATTACACTCGACTGAGCTCTGAGGAAGAGAGACGGGGATCTTATGCTCTTCCTCACGACCTCCTCCTCTTTCTCAGGTTTGTTTCTGAGCTTCCTCAGTCGTCTGTGTCTTATAAACTGATGTGTTATTTTTCACGCAGCTGCTATAAACATGTTAACAGTGTAAGGGACACGCTCACAGCAGGACAGAGGAAGAGTGTTCCTGCAGAGTGTGTCCACTGGAGGGCGCTCTGGCTCGACTTACACGCTTCACACACTGGGCTGTTAAACATCATGTCCTGAACCCAGGTGAACTCTGGGTAGTGACGCTCTGGGTCTGCAGGGGAGGCAGAGATGATTCAGCCCAACATCACTCCCACAATCAGATCCAGATGCGTCTCACCTCCACACAAACCCACGGCCGCCCCGAGACACACTCGAGAGACACTTTGTTATTAGTTTAAGTATTTGCTATTGACTGTTCAAATGCGGAGCTTTGCGCATCGTGTGTGGGTGTGTGTGCGCGCGCACGCTTGCGTGTGTGTGTGTGTGAGAGAGGGTGTGTGTGTGTTCGAGTGCTAGCATGTCAACGGCACTCGGCCATCAGACGCTCTTAGCTGCACATCAGAGACAGACACGCAGAGAGAGAGAGACAGCCGCTCTCCTCCATCCTCACACAGGCCGCTGCCGTAAATATTTTTACTCTCCGTTCCATTAGAGTGTGTGTGAGAGGCTTTTATTGAGGCGCCGAGCACCTCCCCTCTGTAAACACTAGAGCATGATGGGAAGAGGAGAGACCAACACACACTTGACAGAGAGACAGATAGTGAGTGTGTATCATGGTTTGGTGGTCTCGTCACACCTGTCAATCTGTTTTTTTTTTTGGTTCCTCGTATTGTTATTTTATTTTCTAACATGAAGAATATTCCACGTGTGTCTCCACATCAAGAAAACTTTAGTCATCCCAGTGTGTGTGTGTGTGTGAGTGTGTGTGAGAGTCACACACACACATACACACACGTGTACCTCGGCTGGGCCGTGATCCGCTGACAGAGGCTTCCGGTAAATTACAGCTGGAGCTGCTGTGATCCGCACAGAGAAATCCGTGATGATCGGAGACAGGATCACTCGCTTCTCCTGCTGCCGGCGGATGCTGCAAACAAACACACACACACACACACACACAGAGAGAGAGTCAATCTCACAGAGCTGAAAACTATCAAACCTTCAGCAATATCTCATAAACAAACACAAAGCCACAGCAGATCATGTCCTACACTGTATAAACTCAAAACATGAATCAACATCATTAATGGTGTTTATCAGAACATCAGAAATATAAACAAATGAAGCTGAAGCAGAACTGATGCACAGCAGCTCACTGACGCGCCTCTCAGTGCAGGAGAAACCAGCGCAGCTGCAGACAACAGAGACGCCACCGGACGCTTAAACACTCAGACACACACACACACACACACACACACACACACGCAGACAGACACACACACACACACGCACACACAAACAAACACACTCACACACACACACACGGCTCTCACGCTCCCACTCCCACACATGAACTCCGATCGGATCTCTGGAACATTTGTGGGCAGTAAAACAAACACGCGGCGCTTTATAAGGTGCCACATCTGCTACTATTAAAACAATCAAACAGCGACGCTCTGATATTTATGGTGGGCAGTGGATTAGACAGAGGGAACTCTGGGATTACTGCCGGCACACGATTGGAGCGTATCCGCTGAAGATCATGTTACCTGAACAGGTGCCAGAGAGATCACATGACCTCCGCTGTAACCCACCCGTACAGCAGAGACCTCCGCGGCTAACGCTCACGACTAGCAGACATATTCTACTTCCTGTCAGGGGATCATGTGATCTTGGGCTGGTCGGCTGCTGGGTGTTCTTCTTCGTCGTCCAGAGATGACTCTGGTACAGTACAGGACCAAAGAGAGACACTGGCTAACATCACCTGATCGCTCTGATTCACTCAGTCTGCTCTGGAGTTCTCAAAACTCACCGGACCTCACAGCTTTTCTGATAAAAATAGCGACTGAGAGTTAAAACATGATTTTTTAAAAGAGCTCCAGGTTTGCTGTGCTTGTTTGTAGAGCTGCAAAATTTGGCCAAAAAAGTCACATTGTGGTTATATATCAATATGGCTATAAAATAATGATAATTATTATGATTTTTATTGTGATGGAGATAATTATTAATAATAAAAGTTGTAAATAATAATAATAATAATTATTATTATTATTGTATAATTATATAATATAATATTATTTATTATTATTGTAAATTAAATTAATTTTCAAACATTAAACCATGAAGTTTGGGATCTTTAAAGCTTCTGTTTTGTTAGCTACATTATAAACAACGTTACTCCTATATGCATTTAAGCCCCGTTCACACTTTTTCGCTGTATGTCGCTAGACTCTGTGCTGTGAAGAGTGTTGTTATATAAACTACAGCAGTGCTCGTGCATTAAATCATTAACCGGTGCTAAACTGCTCACTGCATCATGTAATTAACAACTCGAACCATCAATGTATGAATCAAACTCACTTAGACAGCCAACAGTTTCTTTTCTACGCATAATTTTTTATATCCATGTATGTGGTTACAGTAAAATCATATAAACCAGTGAAATCGCTGAGGAAATCTGTGCTGTCTTGCACTCGAGACGGTGACGTGTGAGCGCCACTGACAGACTCTTCACTCCTATTGGTGGTCGCTCGCGAAATTCGCCGGTCATTTGGATAAAGTTAAACAATTCTTAACTTTTGTCGCTTGACGCCCACATTCTGTCGCCAACGTTCACTGTCGCTCGTGTCGCCGGAAGTCGCCAGCTCTCCATTGAAAATGAATGGGAGCATGTGTGTGTCGCTGGCAGTGTGAACGGGCCTTAAGTCATATCACGATAATGATTTTTTTCCTGTTCTGCATTGTGTGACTGTGTGGTTGCACTGTTAGTCTTTTAGCTTTGAGCTCATCTTCGCAGCACAAATACAGATTACAAATGTCCTATCAGCTGCTCTCTAGAGTGAGAATGAGCCGCTCTGACCAATCAGGATTCACGCCGGTGATGAAACTAAAGAAAAGTACCCAGAATGCTCCAGTGCTCCAGATGCAGCACAGCGCTCACCTGCTAGCCATGCTCCACTCCAGCACGGGATTCTGGGAACTCCTTTCCCCGCCCGCTGACCCCTCGCGCTCCGGCCGCAGCTCGTCCCAGTGAGCCGTGCCCATGTTGATGCACTGCAGGTCAATCTGATACTGACGGTCCTCGACCTCTGACCCCGGGTCACGCAGAACGCCCAGATTCAGCGCCCGTCTGAGAGAGAGTGAGAGAGTTCACTTAAGATCATCTAAGTGTACTCAACTGTGCTATTTTGGGACACCGTGAATATGAACTAAAATGTGCTTTTAACTCCCTGGGGCCCAACACCGGCGCGACCAGCTCACTATTTTTAAGATCAGTGCGAAAGACACTAAAAACACTGTTGATTTTGGTCACACAAATAAGTGTTATATATCATTCAAAACCGTTAAGTATCTATTTATATTTGTGTGAACTCACAATAACAACAAAACTTTGTGCTTTTGTAAAACTACTGATGATGTTTTTTTCTTGAATCCATGGAAAGAAGCAGCAAACACTTACATATCAGGTATGGTTTACTTGTTTCACTTGTTGAACAGAATCTGTTTTCAGGAATGACTCAAAGTTTGTTCACATCTCTGTGGTTAGATCAGTGTGCACAATAGTGTGTCTTTGACCTTCATTATCTATGTTTTGATTATACTGTGCTGTAAATAAAATACAAATAATTTAAAGACCCATTTTTTCAATCTCCTCACATTCTTTGTTACCTGCCTCACAGTCACATGACTCACTGATGGGCCATTAGGGGAGGGGCCCTTTGTCTCTCAGGTGTGAATCACTAAATATTCATGGCCATGGCCACTCCCTCGCATAAAGCTGGTCTATCACAAAACATGTCTTACAAAATTTAAATCAATATATCGTTTTCTGTGAATGAGTAAGCAGAATGATTTTCTAGCCTACAAGACTGATTATTCAAAAGTCTTATTCAGAACTATTCAGTATGGGTTTTATGGCCTTATTTCAGCTACATTTCCCCCAAAATCTTACTCTTATTATTTACTCTTACTCTTATTATTATTTATTTCCCAAAATACTATCTCTGTATTTTAAAAAATTATTTAGTCACCACTTGTCGTACACTTGAACCCATCTTTCATACACTAGTACACTCAAGTGTACTACAAGTGGTTACTAAATACATTTTTTAATTACAGAGATAGTATGTTAAAAGCACATTTTAGTTCATATTCACGGTGTCCCAAAATAGCACAGTTGAGTACACTTAGATGATCTTAAGTTTATCTTAAGAAGTACTAAAGAATAGTTTTTAGTATATTAAGTACAAAATTAGTGCGTGATAATAGAGCACTTTAAGTACATTATGGAAGTGCACTTTTTTAAACTGGATGCAGCAGGACAGTAACACACACACACACACACACACACACACACACACACACAAACTCACTCACACTCACACACACTGTGTAATATAGTAGCTGATGTCTTTCTCTGATGAGGGACACACACACACGCTCTTACACACATTACTGTCATATCTCTCACCAGACACACTGAATGTGGGGAATCAGATCCTGCGTGTGTGTGTGTGATGTTGTGATGTGTTTATTTGCACTGGCCCGCTGCTCTGCTGCTTTAAACATGGCCTGCGAGTCTAAATGCCTCCAGATGTGCTGAGCGCTAGAGGAGATCTGATGTTTCTCACCAGCGTTCATAAACATCTTCACGACACGCTCACATCAACACTGATCGCTGTTTCCATGGTGACAGCGATCGATCACATTCACAGTATCACAGGAGCTCAAGCTGAACACCAGACGAGATCACAAACCACATGATCAGCTATCAACACACACACACACACACACGCACTCACTCACTCACTCACTCACTCAC